CAGTAGTAAAACTACTAAGAGAACCAATGTCCTTGAGTAACACTCCAACACAGTTTGCAGCAGGTCACTAATGGCTGTCATACTAACATAATTGTCCTTCTGCTCTGGTTTTAAACAGAGCAGTGAAAGTGAGGTCCATTTTGATGTGGAGATCGCCATCAAGGTTCTCCGTCAGGCCGGCTACCACAGCCACGCTGTGTTCCTGGCTGAGAAACACACGCACCATGAGTGGTACCTGAAGATCCAGCTAGAGGACCTCAAGGTAAAACATGTGAACAACTCTAAACTGCAACTCCACTGGTTGGCACAGGTATCCATATAAACAGCAGCATCAACAACAGATACTATATTTTCAATCTGCATTTATGCTAAAGGAATGGATGAATAACTTCATATCCAGCAAACTGTTCACATACAGCCTGTGAGAAAACAGGTTTAAACAAGAGGTGCAGTTTGTCCTGCCACTTCTAAAACAAGCAGCAGCATCTGAATCTCTCTCTGTCTCCTTCTCACCCCTGTCTGAATTACAAACTGCCTGAGTTGAACAGATGGAGAAAACCAGCAATGTTCCATGTCTTGAAAGAGCTTTACTGTTTCCCTTCTAAACCCAGAACTATCAGGAAGGGCTGCGTTATATTGGACGCCTGCCTTTCGAACAAGCTGAGAGCAACATGAAGCGTTACGGCAAAACGCTGATGCACCATGTTCCTGAAGGTACCACGCTGCTCCTGAAGGGGCTCTGCACCAACTACCAACCCAGCGGAGATTCAGCAGAGAGGGAGAGCCTGGGCAGAGGTCGAGCCAACAAGGTCAGGTTTCAGTGCCTCTGTTTTATTGTTGGTTTATGTGCTCCTGAAATTACCAGTGATCGAATAATGTCAGAAATATACTTATAAATGTCTGTCCACATTGTTTTGATTTAAGGCCAACTCGGAGGAATTTATCCCAATTTTTGCCAACAACCCCCGCGAGCTGAAAGCCTTCCTTGAGCACATGATCGAGGTGGACCCCCGTTCTCCCCAGGGTGTGTACGACACACTGCTGGAGCTCCGTTTACAAGACTGGGCACACGAACAGGACCCTGCGGTGAGCCTTATTGCATAATGCTTTCAGAATACAGTTTGCTGTACACAGATTGCTGTCTTTGCAGACATTGTATTTAACTGGTAAACCTTACTGTTATTGCAATATGTTTTGCAGAGAAAGAAGGTCCTGCAGGGGGAGGCTGTGTCTCTGCTGAGGAGTGACAACACGGTGTTTGACAAGGCTCTGGTCCTCTGTCAGATGCACAACTTCAAAGAAGGCGTCCTCTACCTTTATGAGAAGGGCAAACTGTAAGTATCTGGATTTGTATGAACACACAGCAGAGTGACAGCTGCCACATTCAGCACCAAATAAATATAAATCGTTTTTGAGAACAAAGTTTGAACCAATCATTCATTGGATAGAGAAATTACGTTATAGGAGTCCTCCGGTGCATTTTGCACAGAAAGTTTCTCATGAGAGGGGGTGCAGTGTCACACCTTTTATGTGTATTTAGTCATCCAATTTTGTTGGTGTAGACCAAACAATATACTTGTCTCCACCTCCCCATCAAGAACTAAAATGTATCGCTCTGTGTAATTTATTTGATTAGCCGTTCTGCCTGCGTTTTCTATGATCAACTTCATGCAGTCAGTATACATATTACAAAGGGGCGTTTCACTGACAGGGTGTATCAGTACGCTACCTTTTCATGTGAATACTAGGCACAGTTTTAGAAAAGATGCCCCAGATACTTCAAAGCATCCCCTCAACTGATCCAAAAATCTTCTCTCTGGTTAACTTTCTGTATTCTGTCTCCACCCCCTGGCCAGAGGGATGTTAAGTGCCATGGCTGTGGATAGATAGGACATGATTTGCAATTGCTTGCAGGTACCAGCAAATTATGCACTACCACATGCAGAATGAGGAGTATGGAAAAGTGGTAGAGGCTTGTAAGCGCTATGGGGAGCAAGAGGGCTGCCTTTGGGAGCAGGCGTTGGGATATTTTGCCAGAAAAGAAGAAGACTGCAAGGCCTACATCAGTGAAGTCCTTCATCACATTGACCAAAACAACTTGATGCCCCCATTACTTGGTGAGCTGACATTTGTATTGCACGCTGGTTTGGATGTTGATCACAGAGCATTACATCCATGATTTCTATGCTTCTTTAGTGGTGCAAACCCTGGCACACAACTCGACAGCTACTCTTTCCGTCATCAAGGACTACCTCATCAATAAGCTGCAGAGGGAAAGCCAGCAGATAGAGGACGACGAACGTAAAATTCACCAATACCGCGAGGAAACGGGTCACCTCCGCTCCGAGATCCAGGAACTCAAAACCAGGTAGGGCACATAAAGGATGTATTTTCCATGAACAACCCTGACCCAACCCTTACACTAAATTATGATATTCTTCAAGTCGGTGTGGGGGCACAGCTGGTGGCAGGGGTGATGGGGGGCTGGCAAACAACTTGTTCTTGTGTGACCTAGGGTCACCCTGTAACCCCAATATGACTTTAAATCTTTACCCCTATATTTCTACACAGTGCTAAGATATTCCAGAAGACCAAATGTAATATGTGCAACAGCCCCCTGGAGCTGCCGTCTGTCCACTTCCTATGCAGCCACTCCTTCCACCAACACTGCTTCGAAAGCTACGCTGAGAGTGAGGCTGAGTGCCCGACATGCACTCCTGAGAACCGCAAAGTCATGGACATGCTGCGGGCCCAGGACCAGAAACGCGACTTGCACGAGCACTTCAACAAACAGGTACGCAACCTCAGCTCCAAACCGCAACAATACAAGTTGTGCGTTCAATCATTAAATAGATAGCTATTGTTTTTGAGAATTAGAAAATATAGTAATTCCCTTCGTTTAATTTTGTATGACTCCTTTAATTCATCATGATTCTCAAAATGTAAAAACCTAATTTACTCAGGTCATACTTTGATTAGATTAAAGCTAGAAATGCACCAATTGCAGGTTTATTAGCATACTTTTGAAAGTTTGACTTGGCAATTACCCTTTGCTTTTATCATTAACACACGTGGCATAAAATCATATATGTGACACTGATGAGCGGCCGGTTTGATTGGCAGATTGATTGGATCATCTCTCATTTCAGCAGTGGACCACAATGCAATGCACTTATTTTGTCTTTTCCTTTGATTTCAGTTACGAAGCTCTAATGATGGTTTCTCTGTCGTGGCTGACTATTTTGGTCGAGGTGTGTTTAACAAACTGACTCTGGTCACCGACCCACCTGGCAGCAAAACTGTCGGAAGTCTGGAAGTCAACCTGCAGAGAGACCTTCTCATCCAGACCAAGAGAAACAGCTAGAAGCCTGTGATGATGGTCTGATGCTGCCTGAGCACCTGCCTGCTTTGGGAACCTGTGATGGACATATTTGCATAACTGTGTTCCTAGTCCTGATTCACTGGGGCCTGTATAAATGTTCCTTAGTTTAAAATATGTACAACTGTGCGTGCGTAAACCTTTGCTGAATTACACCTTGGAGAATTTTGCTTCGATGTGTTTGATTGTACTAATAACTAATCTTGCACAAATCGTATGTTATTACTGAAATTATTTGATGGCTTTCACTCTAATTTGTGTAATACAATTGTGAATAAAGTAAATATGAAGTATATTTGTTCATGCAGCAGTCAAAGTGTGATCTTTATCATGACAAAGTGTTCCTCTGTCAGAAACCGAGTTTGAAAAGTATGAATCTGTGTACCACAAATCATTGCTGTATTTCAAGTTAAACGTGCAGCTACTTCTGCTTTTCCCTATTCTGCCAAAGTGAATAGTTCACTGGCACAGAGACATAACCGTATTTCTATAATCTTGTAATGATTTAATAAAAGGCTTTGCCAAATGCACGGGTGCCATGAACCCAAGGTCCCAACTCTCATTGGGTGCTCCAACCCAGAGGACCCCCCCATGCTGGTCTAGTGTTTCTTGTTGCAAATATATAGCATTTTCCTCTCTTTTGCTGATAGATCTTTGTTTTTCAAAAGCTTTTCAGGTTTACAATTTTAGGTGCACTCGGTAAGGCCTTTCATGATCTTTGCAAAAATATATTTAGTATAGATCTTTCCATCCTGTTTAAATGTACATCATTTTACTGCAAATATGTTGATATTTACTTTTTTAACATTTTTTCCCTCTACAGCTTTTACAAAGTAAATATATTTCTTTTCACAAAGTTCTCATCTGTCGTTGCTGAAGTATTGTTAAAAGTAAGCAACATGACAACAATATTTTTTCAAGTTCCCTTAAATTAAACTAATTAAACAATGACTTTATTCAATAATTTGAAAGGGGCATGTGGTTTCAAATGTACCTGGAAGTGCCGTCATTCGATATACGCCCACTATTTGGACGTGGACCAATTGACCGTAGCCAGAAGTTTTTCGACGTCACTGACCTCACGTGGACCAATCACAGAGAAGTGCGTGGAGCATGGTGGGCGTGTCCTGGAGTGGAGGGTCACAGCCGTTTGCTGCACCAGGCATCAAGACAAGACAGTCGGAGCAAATTAACCGGAGGCAAAAGGGTCTTCCTTTCAAAATAAGAGCACATATATTTCGAGATAGCACAAGAAATCAAACACTCGTGAGCGCGCTGCAGTTGCGCTGTAATAGTGAAATATCATGTAGTACACGGGCAACTACCGCACTGTACGCATTCCTCCAGTTTAGATAACCTTATATTTAGGAATGCAATACTATTAATTCAGATGGAGTGACATCTATAGTATTTTTTTGTGTTTTTAACCACGTAGTTCCAAAAATCCCCATTTAAATCTGAATTAAAGTTTCATAAACGTAACCATTGAAAAATAGCTTTGGGAGTCATGTGCAAAAACGTATCCGTATGTGAGTCTGCTGGCTGTTTTGCGCTGGAAGCCTGACCGGAAACAGTGTGTTCGGTTGATGTTAGCCTGACGGTAGTTGTTCCGGCAGCAGCAGCGGCTTCGGTGGATCCAATGAGGTGACGCCGCGTTCCGGGCCCGACTGCTGAGAATGAGCCGGTGATAAGGGGAACTAAAAACGGTCAAGTGTGACAACAAAGACGCACTGAATCAAGGCTAGACCAGGAACACTGATCCCAGAACCCCCCGGAGAGCCCCTGCATCAGTGCCGGCAGAGAGAAGGTGAGCCCGGGAACAGAGTGAGTCCATCATGCTTTCTACTGATGGGGCCAGACAGTTAGCTAGCTATGTGTAGCTGTCAACTCGTGTTAAAGCTGGTTATCTTCTCCACAGCACCTCCAAAAATGGTCCAGGTTAACGGTTAACGGGGAAAGGCTAACAGTTGTGTCCAATTTGGCCCTTAAGCTAGTCTACATCTGCGACTTCTCCTACAACTAGCCCTTTTATCCAGATGATGACCATCTAAAAGACCAGACGTTTTTCTTTATTTTTTGACTTAGTAATAGTAATAATGAGGGTTTGAGTTATGTATGCATGCGTCACTGCGTCTCTGGTTGTTCTTCTGCCCAATCTCAATCTGAAGCTCTGTATCGGCATGCATTTGTTTGATTAAAAACGAAACCCAAACTTGTAATTATTAAAGCTTTAGTAACAATATTAATACCACGTGTTTGGAAGTGTCCACAGCTGTGTGATCAGGTCATGAACGGCTTTGCATCGCCTTGGGCAGAGACCAGTGGCAGTGTCTCACTGATCCAGCTGGACCTGAGTCACAGCCAAATTAGCACCAAAGAACCATGAGGAAACATTAGCAGTGAACATTATCAGAGTGTCATTATTCCAGTTTCTACCTGCACAGGTTTGGCTTTTCTAGTAGATCATCATCTTATTATTATTACCTATGTGAGGTTAGCACCTGCTTCCACATGATGAATGAAAGTGCAACCACAGCGAATGAAAAGCGACTGTACAGTGCATGGACACAGAGGATCAGGGGAATAAAGGTGTTGGTGTGTGATGAGCTTTTAACATATTCTGTAAATATAGTCAAGGTTAGATGAGTAAAGACCTGTAATGAATATTCATTAAGATGAAAATGTAAATTAAAAAAAGTAAATGTTTGTACATCTTTCCAGCTCACCATGGGAGGGAGGAAGCTGCCACTGGTTGTTCTCGTCTGCCTTGTTCTGGCAATGTTGCCTTCTGGAGCAGGTAACATGAACCATCAACATACACAGAAATCTTACTCTGACATGAAGCCCTCCTCGTAGTGTGAGCAGTGCTGTTAGAGGCTGAACTGGTCTGGACAAACTGACTCGTTTTCCAACACTGATTACAACTATAATTGTGAATTATTTAGAAATATAGATAACTTGGCTAAACAATGTGTCCCTCAGAGTCTGTGGTGTGCCAGCGTTATGTTACACATGTCTTTGTGTTGCAGGGACAGTAGCTGTCATGTCGGTGGACCTGGGCAGTGAGTGGATGAAAGTCGCGATAGTGAAACCTGGTGTGCCAATGGAGATTGTCCTCAACAAGTGAGTGCTTTTATGAACCTGGTACAGAACGAGTAAATACTTTGCTTTCCCACACAAAGTTTTCTATTTCCAAATTCACAGGGTGCATGCCAAGTCTGTTATTGGACAATTCCTGGCTCCTTGATCCTCTGTTGATTCGGACTTCATTCTGATGCGCAATCTTTGAGACGGTCTTAGAGCTTTTATTTCTGCCTTGAGACTTGAGTGTTCTTCACAGAAGTATTTTACCGGCTGACCCGCCCCCCAGTTACTGATAGGAAACATTTCAACATCACTGCAGTTTCAAACCGCAGTGAAGACAGATAACAGATTAAACTCACCTCCAAGTTGTTAACTGCATTTCTGTTCTGATTAATCATGTCGTTAAAAGTAAGAAATGATGTTATTTACTTCTGCTGTTTCTCCTGTTAACTTAAATAATGTATATAAATACACTCGGAGAGAGTTGGAGAGTTTGTCAGCAAGAAACCCACTGCTCACAACAACATTTTTTTATTTATCTTCATCTCTATTCAGTCACATGTGAATCAGATAATTCCACAGCGTCGGGTTTGAATTGTAAAGTTTTAATTTGATCTGAAACATTATGCCTTTTTATAAATAGTTTCCAAAAAAAACTATAATCATGTCCTGGATAATATCATTTTTTTCATCAGAATATAAATAAATAGATGCAAATAATAAATAAATACAATATATGCATTGGAAAAGGTCCCTGTGCTGGCATACCAGACACTGTACAAAGCATAAGTTAGAATGCAGGGTGTGTGTTTGCTGCTCTGAGGATAACTGTAACAGCAGACACACACACTCCGTATAAAGGCTGTTAACTGACAGCTGGTCAGTTGTCATCACATATGTGTGATTGTTCAGTACCCATGTGTGTAATGTATGGAGGAAAACTAAAGTGTGTGTCTGTGTTCCAAAACTGACAATACTTAAAAAAGGTAGCCCCCTTTCTTTCCATCATATGTTTTCCTTGCACTGGTGCAATTTAAATGGATGTTCCCAGAGATGATCAGAATACAAGAGAGAGTGAAACAAATCCATCAGGAAATGACATTAAAGTGTTAAACATTTTCTCTGCTGTGCTTTTCTTCAGGGAGTCGCGGAGGAAAACCCCCATTGCTGTATGTCTGAAGGAAAATGAAAGACTTTTGGGAGACAGTGCACTAGGAGTGGTACGACTTCTTCTCAAATGTCCTGAATTGAGTTTGATAAAATATCAGCTTCCTCTGCTGAATCACACTTGCAATAACAGTGCATAGTTAAGTAAATGAAATGATCTCTGAATGATATGTCTTTTTCCTTGCTTGCTATTAATGCTAATATATTGCTACATTTCAGTCTGTGAAGACCCCTAAAACTGTGTATAGACACCTCCAAAGTCTCCTGGGAAAAAAGCACAATAACCTCCAGGTAGCGCTCTACCAGAAACGTTTCCCTGAGCACCAGCTGCTGGAGCACCCAGTGAGAGGCACCGTGTACTTTAAAAACTCAGAGTGAGTGTGTGCCACATTTATCCAAAGCTCCTTCATACAATAAATATTGTGTCTATTAATTTGTATTATTTAGCATTTAGAAGTGTTTAGGGGATAATCCCCTGACCTCACTAGTGGTCTGTTCATCATGAAGTCGACAGTAATGGGCTGATACCTCTGTGACACTACAGCAGGGGTCGGCAACCCCTGGCACGCGTGCGGCACCGTAACCAGTGGCACACTAGGAATAAGTGGAATAAGTGCAAAATATTTATTTTATTTTCGGATCCTGAACGAGACGGCCGCCAGAGCGCGTCTCCCCGTTACCTGCAGAAGGAAGCCATGCACGCAACGCAGCCCCACTCTCTTTAACTCCAGGCGACTTTCTGCCGCTTTCCTCCGTAATGCAGTGCTGATAGTTTCATCACAGAGGAAAGCACTTCACAAATTGCAGTACCCATAAGGAGCTGTAAAAATGCCGCAGTTTTTGCGTGGCGATCGATATCGGCCGATACTCACTCTCTGCCGATCGATCGGTGCTCTCTAAAAAGGCCGATCGCGAGACGTAACATACATGACACTTTTCTCTGTGTGCTGCAAAACAAGCTCGCCAAAATCGCTTCACCAGTCTGGCAGTATTTTAAGGTGTCCGAAAATGACAATAAAATGGCGGTTTGCAACGTGTGTGAAGCAGAAATCCTGCAGCTCCACCCGCTGTGACGGACCGGTGAGCGGAGCAAACACACGCTATTTTATCTACCTTTGGAACTAGTTATACATATATTTATTCTTCACTGTCACTCATTACTGGATCAGTGAGCTGCATGAGATACTGACAGGCTGTCAGGAGAGAGGAAAAGAGAGCGCTTCCGCTCATTTCTCCCGTGTTATTATCCAAAGTGAATGTAAACTTGAATAATGTAGGCTACTTCATTTGAATGTAACAATTATGTTGGTTGTTGTTTGTGGAAGCGCCAGTGAATGAGCCCCATTAACTGAGTTTTAAACATCACTTTTCACGAGTGTTTTCGTCGAGCTCTTCAAACCCCCCCCCCCCCCCCCCGTTGATAATTCACGATCGTCGGCACGCTGATAAAACATTTTTTTTAGAATGGCACTTCATATCAAAAAGGTTGCCGACCCCTGTGTAGATGCCTCATATAATTTTCACCTCTGGAGCAACTTTTTTTCATACTGCTGAATGATTATTCTTATTATTACAGCTCATTTCTAAAAACATGACTGATGGTGAGATACTGTAGCTATCCTTAGAAGCACTATAGCAGTTGTCATAGAAACATCAATAGGTTATAAAGATAAACACAACACTGCTTTGGGGCCTCTAATCTGTCTTTCTCCTCGTTTTCTTGTCAGAGAAACGCAGTTCACTCCTGAGGAGCTGCTGGGGATGATGCTCAACTATTCCCGGGGTCTGGCTCAGGACTTTGCAGGTCAGTTTGCACGATGCAGAAGATCATCACTGTTTTAATGTGAGGCATATTCCCTAGCTTTGTCTTCCTCCACAAACAGAACAACCGGTGAAAGACGCAGTGATCACGGTCCCGGCCTTCTTCAACCAGGCGGAGCGGCGGGCCGTGCTGCAGGCGGCGCAGATGGCCGGCCTCAAGGTTCTGCAGCTCATCAACGACAACACCGCCGTGGCCCTGAACTACGGAGTGTTCAGGAGGAAAGATATCGACAATACAGTCAAGGTGCACAGTCGGCATTACTTCCAAATTCATGGTTATTAATTGGTCTGGTGATATTTATTATTGTCAACAAATCCCATGTGCAGCCTCAAGCTAACAATGAATGTATCTAATCACTTTTAAGTGTTAATCAAAGCCTGATTTGGTCTTTGAAAGAGAGACAATAACAAATAGAGCATTTTGACCGCTTTATCCTCATGTGTCTTTGAGTGTGTGTCACTGTGGCGCATAACAAGCCGACTGATGAGTGACCTGTTTCTGTTTCAGAACATCATGTTTTATGATATGGGCTCAGGGAGCACCACGGCCACCATCGTCACGTACCAGACCGTGAAGACCAAGGAGGCGGGCACCCAGCCCCAGCTGCAGATCAGAGGGGTCGGGTCAGTCACAACCACACACTCCTCTATTCCATCTGCTTTGTCTTATTAATCCTTTTCAAGACTGGGGAGAACATGCACAATATTGAATAATAGCATTATCAGTAGAAACTCTCTGACAGTGGAGTTCAGCCAACTGCAGGCTGCTGTAAATAAATACACTCTATTGTAGATGCATTGTAAATGTATTGTATTGACCCAATAACTGAAGTAGCAACTACACAGTGAGCCAGCTACGTCTCATAACCAGAGATCTTCTGCAGCGGATAGATCCTAAAGATGCTCCACAGCCACAGAGCTGTGTGGACGGAGGGGAGGGTTTGTGATTGGCTGAGGGGTGAGGGTAGGGTTGGTCTGTATATTGCTGTTGTGTTGATATTGTGATATGGGACTAAATATTGTCCCAGATTTAGAATTTCACAACATAGCATAAATGTTTTTCTGGTTTTAAAAGCTGCCTGACAGTGACATGTTTGGATTGCCTGAACTCTACTAACTGTTCTATTCTATGCCTTTACCCACTTAGTGATTATATCCACAATACTGGTGTTTAATTACCAACAATTTTCTAAACATTTTGAGGAAACCACATTCTTCGATATATTCTAAGGCCTGCTTCTCTTGTTCTGGCTGCAGGTTTGACCGCGGGTTGGGGGGCTTTGAGATGGACCTGCGACTCCGGGACCACCTGGCTAAACTGTTCAATGAGCAGAAGAAGACAAAGAAGGACGTGAGGGAGAACCACCGGGCCATGGCCAAGCTCCTCAAAGAGGCCCAGAGGCTGAAGACGGTGCTGAGTGCCAACGTGGACTTCATGTCCCAGGTGAGTGCAGGGTCCATCCGGCACTCTTAAAGCAAACAGCTGATCTGTCTGCAGCACCTAAAATAAATAAAAAACATCTCACACCCGAGTAAATTGCATGACATGTTGACTTTATTTGATACCAATACGTGAAGATGAAATAGTGTTTTCTTTCTTCACTCAGGTGGAAGGGTTAATGGATGACATTGACTTCAAATCTAAGGTGACCAGGACGGACTTTGAAGATCTGTGTGCGGATCTGTTCGACAGAGTGCCGGGCCCGGTGCAGGACGCCCTCAGCACCGCAGAGATGAACCTGGTCAGTATAGTGGGTCGCAGCGGATGCATAGAATAAGAATAGGAAAATAACTGAATACCACATAAGCCTACAATAGAGTGATGCAGTAATGATGTATTTTTGTAGGCTCTGGGGCAAACGCACATTTAAGATACTTGTATGTTTTGTTCAGCAGGATATTCTGCACATATTAATATCACTTTATGATTTTTGAAGTGTTAATGCAATGGCCAGAAGAGAAGAGGCCCCAAGATGGAGCCTTGAGGAACCCCACATGTCATATTTGTCAACTCAGATGTGTATTTACCTAAGTAGGATTCAAACCAATTTAGAACTGTTGCCGAAAGTCCCAGTCGGTCTAGTAATATGTTGTGGTCAACAGTGTCAAACGCAGCGCTGAGATCTAATAATACTAACTGACGTTCTACCACTGTCTGTGTTTAAGTGGATGTCATTGAAGACCTTTACAAGAGCAGTCTCAGTGCTGTGGTTTGGACGAAATCCTGACTGGAACACATCAAAAATAGTTATTTAAATGCGAGAAATTACTCAACTGTTGAAAAATAACTTTTTCAATTATTTTACCTAAAAATGGGAGGTTTGATATAGTAGTCTCATTTAGCCGTCTCTTAGCAACCGCTGTTTTATTGACACGTAGATCACACATCAAACTGTCATGAAAGAACATTACCTGCTCAACAAAAGATGTGTTTCACATCACACTGGTGTTCAACAACATACTGGACCACATTGGTTTCAAGCCATTTCTGGTGTCCCTAAACCAGCTGGTTCGACACGTGTCATACTTTTATTTAAGTTCACCAGAGAAAAACTTTCCCTTTGTCCATTTGATACACATTCTGTGAATTAAATCATTGCATTCAATAAAATGCCCCAACCGTCCCCCCCCTATGTGAATGACTTTATTGAATACATTTTCAAAGTTCAAATTATTTTCTAAATATTCTATGTGAATATTTATAAAATAACTGTACAAAACACTGTGTACTTGTATTCACAGTTTTGTCCTGAATTAGGTGTGTAGTCTAGCTGTGCTTTTGAGAGCTTTGGTTGCTCCACTTGCCCACCAGACTGTGTGATGTCACTGCAGCAACAGTGGGCCAATGGCGTGATGCATTCATTTGAAGAGCAGTTGTAGTGATTGGCTGCAAGAAAAACTTGACAAATGGTTGTATTCTTGTATCTGTGTACAAAGGACCAAACCCAGGTATGGGCTGGGTACTGGGTTGTTTGAGCTGATGGTGTCATGTAACACGCATTACTTCTCTTTCACTCTATATATAGAATTTTTTATTCCATTTAGGGGAGATTGTGCTTATTAGGCAAGTATTCCCGATTTGTATGTTTTCCTTTGCAAAGTAGGTCAAAACTAATAGAAGATAAATGTTCACCAAAAAAAGTATGTAGATGTCTAATGCCCCTTTCACACCAACGCGGTTCCCGTTGTAGCTCCTCTAGAGCTTTTCTGGTTCTGAACCGGTTCTTCTTTTCAGCCCCCGTTTTGTTCACACCGCCCAGAGCCCGACTGGTGCTGCCGCTGCTGGGTCATGACGTCACCGTTTACATCGCTGATTTTCTCCCCAACGGAGCTCACAACAACGGGGGACTGCGTCGGGTCGATGATCGTGTTGCTTTTAATCATACGAAGCCAGATTAAATTAAATAACGACTTCTCCAACCTTATACTTTTCTCCAGAGTGCCGTGGTTCATTGTTTATTAATGTGTTTCAGCGGCATTTACCGACCGCTGCAGTGCTGGCTGCTCTTCCACGGGAGTTTATTCTCCCGTTAGCTCCGGGTTAGCTCACACGGCTCTAAAGTATTCACTGTCTGACTGTCACACAAGCAGCTGATACATATCCCCAGTTCCCCTTAAGTGAATGTGTGTCAGTCTGAATTGACGCTGTTTGGCATCACAACGCTGTTATGAAAGTTTCTCTGGTATAAAATGGGTGATGTTGGCATAGCAACCGAAGCTAAACTGACTATCTTGACTACTTGTTGTTGCTATCCTATTGTGGCATAAGCCGTTTTCTACAGGCACATTTTACCGGCGTATTTTTCATTATGATTCTACTTGTGATAGTCGGACATGACAACCTGTGCAGCCCATGTATTGATTCCATCCGATAGCTGCGGGGGGGGGGGGGGGGCGGGTGGTTTTGAAGAGCTCGACGAAAACACTCGTGAAAAGTGATGTTTAAAACTCAGTTAATGGGGCTCATTCACTGGCGCTTCCACAAACAACAACCAACATAATTGTTACATTCAAATGAAGTAGCCTACATTATTCAAGTTTACATTAACTTTGGATAATAACACGGGAGAAATGAGCGGAAGCGCTCTCTTTTCCTCTCTCCCCCTCTCTCTCTCTCCTGACAGCCTGTCAGTATCTCATGCAGCTCACTGATCCAGTAATGAGTGACAGTGAAGAATAAATATATTTATAACTAGTTCCAAAGGTAGATAAAATAGCTAAGTATGTTAGGTCTAACTCTTGTGTTTTGCTCCGCTCACCGGTCCGTCACAGCGGGTGGAGCTGCAGGATTTCTGCTTCACACACGTTGCACCGCTATTTTATTGTCATTTTCGGACACCTTAAAATACTGCCAGACTGGTGAAGCCATTTTGGCGAGCTTGTTTTGACGCACACAGAGAAAAGTGTCATGTATGTTACGTCTCGCGATCGGCCTTTTTAGAGAGCACCGATCGATCGGCAGAGAGTGAGTATCGGCCGATATCGATCGCCACGCAAAAACTGGGGCATTTGTACAGCTCCTTATGGGTACTGCAATTTGTGAAGTGCTTTCCTCTGTGATGAAACTATCAGCACTGCATTACGGAGGAAAGCGGCAGAAAGTCGCCTGGAGTTAAAGAGAGTGGGGCTGCGTTGCGTGCATGGCTTCCTTCTGCAGGTAACGGGGAGACGCGCTCTGGCGGCCGTCTCGTTCAGGATCCGAAAATAAAATAAATATTTTGTACACTTATTCCACTTATTCCTAGTGTGCCACTGGTTACGGTCCCGCATGCCAGGGGTTGCCGACCCCTGTTCTAGACCAAGCGGCAAACTCTGGGGCAGAGCCGGGAGGCCAATAAGGAAGTGCCTCAAACTGCAGTTCATCTAGTGGCCAGTAGGAGCAGTCTGCAGAAGGGAGCATTTTCCTTAGACCCCCATGTTAAAAATGACCAACTTTACAGCAGAAATAAACATGTTTACATCGTGGTTCAAAAAACCATATTCTCTGTATAGATAGATTCCCCCTTCATGACTACTATGTGGGGGGTGAATTGTTTTATAACGCAACCTTTTTAGTTATATTAGGTCTTAAAGTTTTGGAATTATATTAGGGCGTGGTCACCTTGAGTGACAGGTCTCTGCAGTGACTGCTGCTTCTAGCTTTCTGTCTCTCTGCTAGTAGGCATTTTAAGATTTGTATGCAAGTATTATCCCAAAAACTCAATACCTTAGATTATTATTGATCGTTTTGCTGAATAGTTTCATGTTTACTTACCTTAAAGGTGGGGTAGGTACGTTTGAGAAACCGGCTCGAGATACACTTTTTGTTATATTCCATGGAATGCTCTTAACATCCCGATAGCAATGAATATCTGAAGTGCTTTGACAAAAAATCCATAAAAAATGTCATCTGTGGAAGCCGTAGTACTGTAAAAAGCACGACCAATCATTTTAGCCGGCCCGGCTAAAATAACTGGATGGCCTACCTGCCTGTCAGCCTTCCATCTGTGCACAAACTTATCTCGTGCCCTCATTGGTCATGTGTGTGTTGGAGGAGGGGCTCTATAAGGAAGTGGCAGATTTTTTCTGGTTGTGTATTTTCAAATTCTAGCGATCTCGAGCCGGTTTCTCAAACTTACCTACCCTACCTTTAAGCAACGTAAAATGTGCAGACTGGGAGCAACAGACGTAGGTTAGCCGGCTAGCATCACAGAGCCGCACTGCTGAGCATGTTAGCTTAGCTTGGTAGCCTCAGCTAGCTCTGGAACTTCCAGCTCGGTGGCAGGAAGTTCCGCCTCGGCTCCCCCTCTTTGCCCTTATTTGGATCAGGCTGGAGCAGGTGGGAGTTAGACTCTGACGTCACTGTCGAGCCGTTAGTGGCTGACACCGCCTACTTTAGGCTTCTCGGCAACTCTGCAGAATCCTATGGGTGACGTCACGGCCACTACGTCCATTTATATATACAGTCTATGTTCTAGACCGACAATTTTTTGGTGCTTGAAACGAACCGGATTCTGGAGCTTAGAGGCGGCTTCGCTGCGGTGTGAACAGGAAAAAACGGTGCTTTTCAGGATCTAGCTCCGAACCGGCCCTGGAACCGCGTTGGAGTGAAAGGGGCATATGTCAAAAGTCAAAAGCAGAACTCATTTTGACATTAAGGTCTCTTACCATCTTAAGGTGTGGACTGATGTTCTTTTTAATTTGATGGGAAATATTGAGCAGTGAGTTTGAACAGATGTTGAGTGAGTTTTTATATTTCTTTCAACAGGAGGACATTGAGCAGGTGATTTTAGTAGGCGGCGCCACCCGCGTCCCCAAGGTTCAGGAAGTGCTGCTCAAAGCCGTGGGGAAGTGAGTACTGTCCACTCCCATTCAATCACTTCCACTTTCAAAGTGAACATGATTGATGAACTTTATTTTTCCACAACTTGATTTCCTTCACATTTCCACCAAATCTTGGAATTCATCTTGATTCTGATTGTTAGAGAGAGTTGAGTTTAACTTTGGTTGTATTGAGAAGCTGTGGTTTGTGTATTCTGCCGTGCAGAGAGGATCTGGCGAAGAACATCAACGCAGACGAAGCAGCAGCCATGGGAGCGGTGTACCAGGCTGCTGCCCTCAGCAAGGCCTTCAAGGTCAAACCCTTCCTGGTCCGGGACGCAGCCGTCTTCCCCATCCAGGTCAGCTCGTTCACTGCCTCGTTCATCCTGTCCTGTGGCTTTGCTGATGATGAAAAATATGAATCCTTGTTTGGTAACTGGTGGGCATGTGTTTGAACTCCTTTAACGAAGGTGTTTTTCAGCACGTTTTTCACACTGTTGCCTGTTCTTTTAGTACAGGACTAAAATCCAAATAGGATGTGATATTAAAATCCTAAATACAATCCATGGAAACACTAACCACATGTATTTGGTACCATCAGGTGGAGTTCACCCGTGAGTCAGAGGAGGAGGGTATCAAGACCCTTAAACACAACAAACGTATCCTCTTCCAGAGGATGGCGCCCTACCCCCAGCGCAAGGTCATCACATTCAACCGCTACAGCGATGACTTTGCTTTCTACATCAACTACGGCGACCTGAGCTACCTGAGTCAGGAAGACCTCAGGTTAGTTGGCTAAATGCTTTAGAGCTCTGTGATGATGTTCTCTTCCACACAGACATGTGATCACTTCAGCAGTGCAGATAGACGGAACCAAAGTTTACATCATGTCGTCGTGTTGTGGAACCTCACTGTACTTTAAAAGCATTCAAAGAAGCTCAGATGTATGATGCCTTCAGGGTTTTGAATGTTTTGCTGGTGTTTCGCAGCGTGTTTGGCTCTCTGAACCTGACCACGGTCAAGCTGTCTGGAGTAGGCAACAGCTTCCAGAAGAATGCAGACGCAGAGTCCAAAGGCATCAAAGCCCATTTCAACATGGATGAGAGCGGGGTGCTGCTGCTGGACCGGGTCAGTCTCCCTCTTCTGAACATCCAAACAGCAGCTGCTCACTGTGAGCAGGACACATGTTCTACCTCCTGTGATGTCTTCCAAATAACAATACATGTACAGTGTGCTGAACAATGAAGAGCCACTCCTCATACTGCACACAGCAGAATATCATGGCTGGAGCTCAATTATAGAGGGATACATTTCCAATCAACTATTGTTTTGTTTGATTGATAATCGCAGAATAGAAACCAAAAGTATATTTGATTTGTTTCAGTGAAATGAATGTTGTATTTTTGTCATCCACAGGTGGAGTCTGTGTTTGAAACTATTGTGGAGGAGAAAGAGGAGGAATCGACATTAACTAGTAGGTTCTGAGCGTTATGTAGTCATGTAGATTTTTGCTGCCACAATGCTCTTTGAGGCATGTTTAAGGAATTATATATATCATAATTCAATTTAAAGGATTTGGACAATTATTTTAGTTAACAACATACAAAATATGCTCTCCTTAAAGACTCCAGACTATACGGACAAAAATGTTATCGTAAAAAAACTTTAAAACTCGACAAAAACGAATTCAACTCATCAGAAGTGTCTTTGTTAGTCCTTGTTACAGCAAAAAACAGCCTTTGTTTGAAAGAGGGACTGTAACACGTGAAAAATAAGTTACTTTTTTAATATTTTCACTGTTTACTAACTGCTAACTGCCATTCTTGTCCACCAGAAATACAAACAAAAATGTTTTTGGCTTGTTGATTGCTAATACTAAAATACTTTTTTTTAAAGTTCTCAATTTTACAGCCTGTACTTTAGTTTATGGAACTTAATATAACTAACTGAGCCAACTCGGTTTCAGAACTGGGAAACACTATTTCCACCTTGTTTGGAGGAGGATCCTCAGAACCTGCCGCAAATGTGACAGAACCTGTCCAGGTAATTCAAATCATCACAAAGTTGATATGTTTGTTCATCAAGTACAGTATGCTGAGGTGGTAGCTCACATTGTTTCCTGATTTCTCCTGTTCAGGACGAGGAGGAAGTGCCTCCAGAGTCTGACAAGGAGGGCAAGGAGGGCAAGGAGGACAAGGAGGACAAGGAGGACAAGGAGGACAAGGAGGGCAAGGAGGACAAGGAAGACAAGGAAGACAAGGAGGACGAGGCCGAGGAGAAGCAGGACAACTCTGAGAAGAGTTCCGCTGAAGAGAAAGGTCAGGAGAAGACAGAGGAGGCGAGCAGCCAGACTGATGCTCCGGTAAGACCTCTGACAGCCCTGAGGAACATTTAGTTTGAAATATTGATTAGTAAATGAGAAACTAACTTTATCCAAAAAAGACCTGGCCTCTAAAGTCTTTGTATTAAAAAAACAAACCCATTTTTGCTGGTAAAGGAGGAAAAGGATGGAGAGAAAGCTGAGAACACGGAGGCAGAGAAGGAAGCTGAGAGGAAGGCAAAACCTCAGAAAAAGAGCAAGATCTCTGAAGACGTCACAGCGGAACTCATCACCAACGACATCCTTGACCCGACTGCAGAGGATGTAGCCTCCTCTAAGAAGAAGTAAAGCAGCTACTTTCTTTTTTCTTCTTTCTCGTGTTCTCTGGGTTCTCTGTTAGTTGGCTGAAATGAGTCTTTGCATGTTCACAGGTTGCAGGATCTGACAGACAGAGACCTGGCCAAACAGGAGAGGGAGAAGTCCCTCAACAGTCTGGAAGCTTTTATCTTTGAGACACAGGTAAGCAACTAATGCTTAACCGTAGTTTTATCGTCAGCTTTATTTCCTATCCAATTTGGTTTTCAAGAAATTTGAGTCACCAGTGTCCTAGATTTAAAATCCTTTAATCTTAAGAACAACCACATGGCACAACATCACCTGGGCCTCCCCCACAAACACTCATTGTTCCTCCAGGACAAGCTGTACCAGGAGGATTACCAGTTGGTGGTGACGGAGGAGGAGAAGGAGCAGATCTCCAGCAAGCTGAGCGAGGCGTCTGAGTGGATGGATGAGGAGGGCTACGCTGCCTCCAACAAGCAGCTGAGGGAGCAACTGTCCCAGCTGAGGAGCCTGTGTAAGGACATGTTCTTCAAGGTTGAGGAGCGCCGCAGGTGGCCCGAGCGCCTGGCCGCCCTGAACAGCAGACTCAACACCTCCAGCTTCTTCCTGAGGTGAGTGGAGGAGGCTGCTGGAGATGTTAGGACTTCGTAGAGGCGAGGGACTTTGTTATTGACCACATTTTTTTTGTTTTCTTCAAAGGAGTGCCAAACTGATTCCAGAGGATGACCAGATCTTCACTGAAGTGGAGCTGAATTTGTTAGAAAAAGTGATCAACGAAACAATGGTATGTGGGGAATGTATCAATGTTTTCATCACACTTGGGAGGATGGTCGTCCTCCTAATTTATTTTGCTCAAAGTGGAATAGACAAAAGTCAAAGCTGTGTCGGTACAAGGCTTGTATTTTCTAGTATGGGGCATATGCTACATTTCTCATAATGCATCTTTTTAGATATACACATATATTATAAAAAAATGTCATAGTTGGTTAAGTAGTTCTCCTTGTATCGAGTAAATTGACAGGTGTAATGTTTTCTGCAGACGTGGAAAAATGAGACTGAAGCCGAGCAGGAGAAGCGCTCTCCAAAGGAACGGCCCGTCCTCTTGTCAAAAGACATCGAGTCCAAAGTGTCCCTGCTGGAGCGGGAGCTCAACTACCTGCTCAACAAGGCCAAGTTTGCCAAGCCCAAAGCCAAAGCCAAGAACAGCACAAGCTCTGATAAAAGCAGCAAGGCCAACAACACCACCAAGGAGAAGGTCATCCCCCCCACAGAGGAGAGCGCAGACTCAAAGAGTGGTGGGTCAATCGTGTATTATCCAAAAAGAATTACAACTGTTATGACGTTAGAAAAACAACTTATATTTGTTGTCTTCTTCAAAATGCTCAATTTAAATACAGAAAGCCCAGAGGAGGTACAGCCAGGGGAAGTCCCGCCCACTGAGGAGAGCGCTACAAACACAGACTCGGACAGCCAATCACAGCCCACAGAAGAATCAACAACCACAGGTCGGTCTGCCATTCCTGTAGCTGATGATGCCGGAGAGCTTTAGTCAACTCCTCACCACTCAACTCCTCACCGACACTAACGGAGCATGAGAGTTCTGCTGGACTGTTGTAACGGATCACATTATTGTTCTAAAGCTGCTGTGTTCAGCCGGGCTTTCTTCAGAAGGCTCACCTTCATTCTCATGATAGGGACTCTTCCACTGCACTTTCTCAACTATTACATCTCCTACTCAAACATTCAAACGCTTAATTCCAGAACTGTAGATCTGCCACTCCCATAATGAAGGATTCATGAATATCCAATCAAAGTTAATGATTTGTATTGGTTGAATAATACCTGTGATATATACCAAAAGACTACGCATTTGTAATAGGTGTTTTATTCGCTGCAGTACCAGCAGTGTGGTACTACAACGTTTTTGAAGCATTTCATGAGCAAGTAAGCATCCTTCTGATGAGTGAATCAGAATAGTACAGTCAACTATTAATGTAACATACGGCTCCTTTTAGAATGTCTTCCCTCAACTGACACTATGTAGCACTTTTAGATGATATCTCTGGGAGAAGCACCTAAAGGTGGAGGACGCTTTTGGCTTGCCACAGGGATTTAGACACTCTGACTCTAGCCTCACCTTAACTCGAACCCACTCCTCACATGTCTGTAGTCGGAGTGAACCGGAGGAAGACGCACTGTAGTTCAACAATCATTTATTTCATTCGTACATAGGTTGATCTGTACAACAACACTCGTCGTTTTGACATGAAAAGGTTGATTTATGAATGGACATAAATATGTAATACTCCAACAACTTCCAGTGGTAGTAAAACATGGGAGTTTGGTCCCTTTAAGACGATGATCCATAACAACAAAAACCAAAGTGTTTTCAAATTGGAATGCTAGTTTGTGTTGCTGTTGTTCCAGCTGTTGAATAGTAATAAAACCTGCAGAACAATGTGATGTCATTTATTATATTAAAGGGTTGAATCACATTGTCATCCCATCCAAATGAGCATTTGCTTTACATTAGAACAAGCTATCCCATCATTCTGTTTCTGACTCTCTCAGCAGACTGCTCCTTGTTGTAAATGAAAGTGATGTAGACAAAGCTGACGGGTGTGGTAGAAAATGTAAATTGTTTGGTGTGGTGCATTTCAATAATGATGAGAATGCCTCGATGACATGATCAGATGTTGTTTTACCACCAGCAAAGCTGGTCAGAGTCAGACCACAAACCAGCTCTGGATTTTCCCTCACCTTGCAACCAAGGCCTGCAAATGTCTCTGCTAACAGGCTTCACCATGGCAACAGCTTTTTGTGTGTGTCTTATTGAATCCGTAAACATGTGCTCGAGTTACCCAGCACTTGAAGTGAGTTGATGTAATCCAACACAGTATTCATGTTTCCCTCTCTCTTCTCATTTCCAGGAGCAACAGAGAAGACCCAGCCTGAGAAGCACATAGAGGATGAATTATAACAGCTGGAACTGGGAAAAATCACTTTATTTATTGATAGTGTATAAATGTTCGCGTTCCTTCTCACTCTGTTTGTTTTTTGTTTAATTTTGTCCTTTTGTCCTTGTTTATTGAACCGCTGGAAGATAAGGATTGGGGACCACTCAGCTTGTCCCCTTCTTCTTCTGTACTCTCATCTCCTCCGTCTCATGGATTCTATAAGCTACCGTCACTCAAACACCAAGAAGCAGCACAACCAAAATAAAGCCCAGATGAAGGTCCAAAGCACCACCTCACGTCCAACAAACTGCTGATGGAGAGGAGATGAGGCCGTGCTGGGCCGTGTTGGGCCGTGTTGAGACCATCCGGACATTTGACAGGCCGAGTGTGTGTGTATTCTCCGGTCTGTCCTCAATGGACACTTCCTGTCCTACTTTGTCCTCTGCACTGATTCTGTTTCTGTAGCTGGGAGGTTAGTATTGGTCTAAAACCTGCAGCTGCTCTTTCCATGGCCGAGTGGTGGTGATCACTGACTATTAAGCTGCTGCTTAATAGTCCTTTAGAATTTATGTTTTTGCTCCAAGCCAGAATGTATTTGGCCAAATAATTTATAGATTTATTTGTACCATTTATACTGTAGTCACTTACAGTATATTTAAAACTATGTGGTAGCGCAGTCAGTTGAATTTTCATTTGGTTAAAGAATCTGTCATAAATATTCATGGTTTAATGGTATAATATAGGAGGTCATTATATATTTACCAACTGGGCTAAAGAGTGGCTGTCAATTAAGAAAGACTCAATTCTATAACCATGGAAACTAGGTATAACATGCAGGTAGAACTGCCTCGTCTATTAACATATGGTGGACCAGCGTGTTTCAAAGCAGAACTACTGATGGTGGCAGATCTACTGCCCCCTGCAGCTCATTCAGATCTACTGCCCCCTGCTGCTCATTCAGAGTTTGTTATTTTCCCAATTAGTGACTGAATACATTCATGATAACCTCTCCTTTAATGTGCAAGGTTCAGACCGTTTGGGTCCCCGCTCCCGCTCCCGCTCCTGTATGTGTACTCTACTTATATGTGTGCCATCTTTCTGCTGGTGTGGTTGAGTTCTTTCTGATCCAACAGAAACTTTGATTGTGTGCCAGGCACAGTGGGCACTCCATCTTTAACATTTCATAAGCTGCTAAACAATTTAGAGGGGGGGGGGGTCATTTGTATCTCACTATTCTTTACCTGGACATGCCCTGTGGTGCAGATGTTGTCTGTTTTCCGCTGGAACGTTTGTGGGGGTTGGGGGTTGGGGGTGCGTCTGTTTGCAGCACTGTGGATTATTTGAAGGGGAGAACCGTAGAAAACAAAGTCAGGAATGGAAGATGCAAACAATGTTGTCTTTCTAAACTGTTAATAAAAACTCTTTTTGTTTTTCATTCTTAGTGTATGATGTCATTGGCTTATGGATTGAAACGGTTATTGATGGTACCTCAATCAGAAAGCAAACTGTTTATTATTTTTGCTCTCTTAGTAGTTGATTAGATTTCTACTGACAGAGCCTAAAATGTTTTAAAATCAGATCAGTCCTGACCTTTGTAGTGTTTCACATTTTGTAAATCTGCCTCGTAGCTTTCATAGCTAAACATATTGGGAAATAGTTTGAAAGGTTAAAGGAATCCCTCTGCTGTGAATGCATTTAAACTAAATGACATGTTAGCACTGTCCAAACTGTTAGCATGAAGCTGTATCAACACGTAAAAACAAACATTGATTGAATAAGTAATATAAATACTTTGGAACAGAAAATAAACTGGTCTCGATGTTGACCTAAAGTACTGGAGAGTGGAGCTTCCAGGAGTTCACCAAATAATTCACTTTATTAAAATATACCAGTACTGTTGCTTTATACATCAGTATTGTGACGTCATCTGAAAGGTTTATAGGAAACACACAAAATACCCATAAATAACTGCATACAGCAAAAAACAGAACCTTTAATGGATATGTGTTCAGAAAACTGAATATGAGCTACAATACCTAACACTGCTATAATACCATTACCCACTATCTTAATATACATGGAATACAAAGCCTGAAGCAGTATGAAAGGCTATAATGTTATGAGTGCATATACCATTTATATGATCAGAATATATTATTTTGTTCTGTTTATCTTCTTATTCCAAGATAAACGGAAGCAATAAGGTTTATTAAAAAGATTACAAGATGCAATTTTCTGCATTTCTCCTTTTCTTAGAAGTATTTCAGGGAACTTGTATTGTGTAATATACTAATATTTATCAAAAAATCAGACACTTTTTTGCGCTCACACAAAAATGCTCACATGGTTTAGTGAAGCCCACTGCAGGGTCAGTGCTGGGGGCACAGAGTGGTCCAGGTGGAGCTGCTGGTAGAGCTGTGCATCCTAGTGTAAACGATGAGGGCCACCAGCAGGAGGCAGACGGCTCCAACCACGCCGCCTCCGACTGAAACCGCCAGCTCCGTGCTGTCCACAGTCTGGTGAGCACCTGGGGGGGGGCAACTGAGCATTACAGACCCTGCAGAGCCAGGCACACGTTCTACTCTAGCTGGCAAATGGAAACCATATTAATGTACAACATTTATGCATATAGGTCATTCCAGAATTGGAGGACTTTTCTTTCCCACCTATTCAATTTCATAAAATCCATGCCCAAAATGCTAAAACATGCACTGTTAGTATTGTTACAGGCTTGGCCTGTCACTTTAAGAGTAGCAGCCGCAAGGGGTTGTGGGTTTTTGGAAGTCTGGGTTGCGGTCGAATAGTCCATTTAGCTTAGGAACCTTCCTAACGGAGTGAAATGACCCCGAAGTCCCTCAGTGGCAGCCATGATAAGTGCCGTTCGAATTCTCTAAATTAAAAGGAAAGGAGGTTTCAAACTTCCTTTATAACCTCCTTTAGCTTAGGAACCACTGGACCTCCCTAACCGAAAGGAGAGGAGAAAATGCTGCCCCACAATGCCTTGCGGCCGCGGCATTTGCCGTCACACAACAGTCGGCTGTTCACGGAAACAACCGATTATGAACGAGAAATGATATCATGAAAGTTACGGTGCTTATTAAGCATTTTAAAACGTATGTGGTAAGTTGCCAAAGTGCTTTGTTTTGAACGTTCATCAGTATTATAATCAAAAAGAGAAATATGAACATTAGTTTTTACTGAAATGATCAAATAAAGTCAACATTTCACAGTCTTTACTGAGCTGTGTGGGGTTTGTTCAACTTTTAAAAGATGTTTGAATGGTGATATACACAGTGATAGATGTTAAGGACTAACGTTTATAATAAATACATTTGTATTGATTTTAAGATCTTTTCATACAATCATACGTAGGCTATTGGGATCATTTGTATTAATGTGGACCGGAGGGAGAGGGTGACGAGCATAAGTTTCACTTTCCTTTTTTATTTCAATTCCAACTTTGGTCATGAAGAATATGTTTCTCTGTTGTCCCCGTTCATAAAGCATAAAACAACAGCATCAGAGCACGGTGCAGAGTCTCTAGATGAGTTTACAGTAGTCCCTCGTTCTTATTAAACATCCATGTTGTAGTCCGCTGTATAGAAAACTGTAGTTTCCATAGTTTACCCACAGCAGCAGGCGCACATTTATGACCTCCGCTGGCGCATCATAAACACGTCGGATAGTGAAAGTGCAGTCGGATTCTCTAAAGTACCGCAGTCTCTTCTCCTAAATCCTTTTGAATTCTCCTATCCACTATCCCTTAACCCCATGACGTTTCACTCCGAGGTCAAGGAATAGACGATAGGGTTAGAACTTAGGAGCTGTTTTTTTGGAGTATTCGACCGCAACCCCGGTGTGTGAAAAATGTGATGGCCAAGGCGAAGTGCGGAGGTATGAAGAGAGAGACGAAAGTATAGAGAAAGTGGTCAGAAAAGGAATAGTGTCTAGTTTGTATGTATTCAATACAGTGTCAATGTAATTGAAGAACGTGAATAAACGGAGGTTCTTCCCACGGCACCCGAACGCATCGTCTTCATCCTTTTTCCCCTCGAAATATCTGGACAGCTGGTTACCGGCTGACAACGAGCCAAGTCAGAAACCACCGGTGTGTATCAGAAACTACGGTTTCGGTGCCGAGATACCGTCAGTAATAAAGGTAACATTGGGGGCTCGTCCGAGATTTTTTTTTTTTTCTACGGGGGAGAAGAGTGGAGTGGATTTAATGGCAGCGTTCGGAGCTAACGCTAATGCTAATCACAGACTGAGACAAGCTGATGCAGCTAACGGAAAAAGCCCACGGAAAAGCTCTAATCCATTCTTGGTGAATATTGATGAGGCTGGTCAAAGTAAGGTGGACATGTTTGACCAGACAATTATGGATTATACTGGGTATGGGGACTGCACCAACCCCTTTCTGACATGGAGCTAACGCTAGCCGGAGCCGCAAGCTACGCCACGCCGCCGGAACCATCACTGGCGCCAACTAACCCTTTCATCATGCCGACAAAGGAGCAAGCACAGCCAAATAGTGAGTTTCTAACCCCCTTTCCACCAAAATGTGACCGTTTAATGAGCATGGTATCAACTTCAGCTAAACCAGCTAATCCTTTCACCTCCATGGACTATAGCCACTCTATGCCGACTATCCCAAGTTACTCAGCTCATTCACAGTGCCTTCAGCCGCCAGTGTCACCATTAACACCCTGTATGCAGCAGCCTGCCACACTGCCTTGTAAAGTACAAGCTCACACATGCTCAGCTGTGCACTGTGGGACCGCACCTGGCCAGTGTGAGTGTGATCAGCCTAACATGAGGAGAGCTTGGTCTGAACCACGCAGCTCTGCAGCTCGTGCAGCACACAGAGAGGACTATATGGACACAAGTGATGAAGATGAACACCGTGGACACAGAGAGAGAATACCAACATTACGCCCAAGCCAGTTTGATGGGGCTGGCTCGTGGAGAGACTTCCTCTTCCATTTTAAAGGATGTGCTGAGGCTAACCACTGGTCAGAGAGGACTATGGCTGTGCATCTCAGATTCAGCTTGACTGGACCCGCGGCTGCCATCATCCACAAGAACCCCAGATCTACTCGCTGGAGTTATCAGCGGATGGTGAGTGAGATTGAGGCGGCCTACGGACCGTGTTCAGAGCATGCTGCTGCCATAGGCATTGAACTGAGACAGAGAGTCAGAGGACCGGGGGAGGCCCTGCACCTGTTAAGAGGCGACATCTATGAAAAAGTTTCAATTGTGTATGCTGACCGTAATGAGCCGGAGCAGGACGTCATCAGTGTGGAGATTTTCACCAACGCCCTTGCCGATGCAGAAGTGATCCAAAGACTACTGGAGGATAAGCCGCGCACCTTGGCTAGAGCCTACGAGATAGCCCACAGGTATGAAGCCACCAGACGGGCTGCCAGAGCCGTCACACAGCTAATGCAGTCTGGTTATCGCAATGCTGCAGAGCGGAGACCCAGGGCAGCTATGGTGCACGAAAATGCTAATGTTTCCGCCTGTATGGAGGCTTTCTGGGTGGCTGAAGAGTGGGCTGCGGAGCCCGCTAGCACCCAGAGTAAAGCACCGAGGTTTAACCAGCAGTGGTCACCTAACAGAGCTAAACCTGTACAAATGAACTCTAGAGAAGTCATCTGCCACAACTGCTCTGGTGTGGGGCACATACAAAGGAACTGTCCCTCTTCCCGAAAACGCAAGCAGCATGCACCTAATAACACTCCAGCTCCTGACTCAGGTACGGTGGTCACATGCAATAAAGGCTCTGATGATGACATGAGTATCCGGATACTGATACAGGGACATGAACTGTGTGCTCTGCTCGACTCTGGCGCTCGGAGGAATGTACTCCCCCTCCGCCACTTCAACGCCATTCCTGTTGAATCGAGGCCTCAAATCCAGCCATCCATCGTACAAGTATTACAAGGCATCGGTCCCGAGGGCATCGATGTCCGAGGGGAAGTCAACCTGCCAGTTCAAGCCGGAAGCAAGGTAACCAATGTGAACTTTATTATGGCAGACACAGCTGAAAATACAGAGGTTATCCTGGGGCACCCTTTTCTGCTGCAGTCACATGCTCACTTGGACTATGGTCGCAGGGAAATCACCCTCTTCGGTGAGAGAGTGCCTCGCTCAAAACCCAGCAGACAGCCTGAAGTGCACCTCGTCAGGGTATCCCGCACAACAGTATTGGAGTCGGGGTGTGAGTATGTGGTGCCTGGTACTGCCCGCCTCCGCTCTGCTGTTAACAAAGATATGATGCTGACCCCCACTAAAGGCTTTGTTGAGAGACAGCACGTCCTGGCAGCCCACATTGTTGTACAGACCCGGCATTCCTCCAACATTCCCATGCGGATTTACAATCCTGGTCCTGCATCTGTTACTCTGAAGAGAGGGGTGGTGGTCGGAGTTCTTCAG